GCCTGGCAAGGTTGCTTCACTTTTTAAAAAAATGTTTTATGTGTATGAGTGTATTGCCTGCATGTAGGAAGGTGCATCCAGTGGAATTATGGGCAGTTGTTAGCTGCCATGTGGGTGCTGGGAATCGAACCCAGATCCTCTGCAAGAGCAGCCAGTGCCCTTAACCGCTGAGCCGTCCCGCGGCTCGGGTGTTTTCACTTGGCCTGCACTCCCGCTTTCCTTTGTTTTGAGTTTTGTTTTGTTTTGTGATAGGGTCTTTTTAAAAATATTTTATTTTTTTAATTTTTTTTATGTGTATGAGTGTATTGCCTGCATGCATGTGAGTGCATCCGTGTCGTGCAATGCTGCTGAGGTCAGAAGAGGGCTTCGGATTCCCCTGGAACTGGAGTTAAGGACGGTTAGTAGCTGCCATGTGAGTGCTGGGAATAGAACCGGGGTCCTCTGCAAGAGCAGTCAGTGCTCTTAACCGCTGAGCCATCTCTCCAGCCCCTCGTTTCGTGATAGGGTCCTACTCTATAAGGTAGACTGACTGGCTTGGAACTCTGTAGGTAGCCCAGGGTGGCCTTGAACTTGCTGCCTCCTGGAACTCTTGTCTCAGCCTTAGGAGTTGCTGGGATTATCGGTATGAGCCACTACAGCTGAGGCTTCTGTTTTTTTTCTCTCTAAAGTTTGTATGGTTGAGGGCCAGAGTGGGAGTGGCAGAGGAGGGAGTGTGTAGCTTAGCAGTAAAGTACTTTTGAAGCAAAAGTGAGACCCTAGTTTGAACAGGATTGTGAAAGCAGGTGGGATGCTTGGGGATATAGCATGGGTGAGGCCTGGGGAGGAAGGGTGGGAGAAAGGGAAGGAAGGAAGGGTATATATATCTCAGTACAAGTATGGCACCATGGATTCAATCCCTGAAAAGACAAAATTACAAATAAAAATTTTAAACTGGTGAAAAATTGTTACCCAGTCCACCCTGCCTCCTGGAGTGAGCTCAGAGACAAAAGCCCTACAGCAACTTGAGAGGGCTGAGGGCTGTGAGGAGAGTCAGGCCCCCTGGCCTGCAGCTCCCCTGGCTGGAGAGGAAAGGGGCACTGTGTCACCAACTCCACCCCCAAGGGATGGGAGGGCCAGCTCATTATCTCGTCCAGAAAAGCCCCACTCAATGTGACTGAGTGACTGCGCCAGACCTGCTACAGTGACTCAGGTTGGATGGGTGGGCAGCCCTTGCTCTGTGGCATTTTCAGGTAGTCTGGGCTCGGGACTTCTAGGGGATCTTAAATCATTTCCTGGAAACTCCATGCTCTGTGTGTGTGTGTGTGTGTGTGTGTGTGTGTGTGTGTCCATGTGTTGGGGAGCTGTGCATGTGCATGAGTGTGTGTGTGCGTGTGTATTGGGGAGCTGTTCGTGCGTGTGTGCGTGCGTGCGTGTGTGTCCATGTGTTGGAGAGCTCTGTGTGTGTGTGTGTGTGTGTGTGTGTATGTGTGTATTGGGGAGTTGTGCGTGTGTGTGTCTGTGTGTTGGGGAGCTGTGCATGTGTGCGTGTGTGTCCGTGCATGTGTGTGTGTGTGCGTGTGTGTGTTAGGGAGCTGTGCGTGTGCGTGTGTGCATGCGTGTGTATGTTAGGGAGCTGTGCGTGTGCGTGTGTGTGTGTGTGTGTGTGTGTGTGTGTGTTGGGGAGCAGGCACAAAACGAAGGCCAGAATAGACTTGCAGCTTAGGGACTCACCTCAACCTCCTGTAGCATGAGGAAGATCAGTGGAGTACAGGGGTGAAGGGATAGCCCCCATTCCTTTGTGACTATGGACTAGAAAAACATCTTATTCCAGGCTCAGCCAAGCTTTAAGACTCTGGAACTCATGAGGAAGAGTGAGGGGGTAGAGCACATGAGAAGGCCTTGAGATCTTTTCCTCAAAGGAAAACACAGAGTGGATTTTCCCAAGGACTTCTAGGCACTGAGCCCTAAAATACGTGTCAATAGATGGCAATGAAATAACCTACTAAATGTTTGTTTTTTGAGACAGGGTCTCTCTCCCTGTAGCCCCAGCTGGCCTGGAACTTGCTATATAGACTAGGCTGGCCTTGATCTCACAAAGATCCACTTGCCTCTGCCTCCTGAGTGTTGAGACTAAAGATGTATGCCACCATGCCTGGCTTACATGGTTTTGTTGTTGTTAATTTTATTTATTATTTTTTAATCCTATGAGTGTATTGCCTGTATGTATGTAAGTGCACCCATGTCGTGCAGTGCCCAAAGAGGGTGTCAGATCTCCCTGGAACTGGAGTTATGGAGGGTTGCTAGCTACCATAGGGTGCTGGGATCAAACTAGGATCCTCTGCAAGAGCAGCCATTGCTCTTAACTGCTGTCATATCTCCAGTCCCCTTAAATTTTGTTTTGTTTTGTTTTGTTTTGTTTTCAGACAGAGTCTCCCCTGCAGCCCTAGTTGGCCTGGAACTTACTATGTAGACCAGGTCAACCTCATCTCACAGAGATCTACCTGCCTCTGCCTCCCAAATGCTGGGATTAAAGGCATGTGCTAACGTTTTTTTTTTCAAAAATTTATTTTTATTTATATGTAAGTGTGTGTGTCTGTGTGAGTGTATGTGAATGTGTGCAATGGGAGGCCAGAGGAAGGCACTGGATCCTCTGGAGCTGGAGTTACAGGTGGTTGTGAGACACCCAACATGGGTGCTGGGAACTAAACTCAGGTCTTCCGGGAGATCAGAAAGTGCTCTTAACTGCTGAGCCATCTCTGCTGCCCAAAATGTTTTCTTAATGCTAGCACTGACCAGAGCAGTGCGTTCAGTATCTACTAAACTGGGATGTTCACATTTGAAGATTCCTTATTAATGAATGTCTTTGACTTAAATCTAACCAAAACCTGCAACATTATTCTTTGTACATTTTCATTATATCGTGTTAACAAGCATAGTTGCAAACAAATAAAATACTTGAGCTATTAAAAAAAAATGGGTTCATAGGACTCACTCTCCACACCACCTTCCCAGGGACTTTCCAATCTCCTGACAGAGACGGAGACAGAGACAGAACCTAAGGCTTTGCGCATCCTAGGCAAGCCATGTTCCTAGCCCTTCAACCTCATTTTGAGAGGCAGAAACTAGGTTAAGGAAAAATAGACCACGTTCCCAAGAGCTCACGGTATGCTCGCTGCTCCTGTTTTTATGCTTGCCTTAGAGCAACCTGGATATAAAATAGGAACCAGCACTGCCCCATAGTACAGAGCAGGAAATGGCATCAAAAGCCAAGAATTACTGACCGAGATCACAAGGCTGATAGGTACAGGAGCCAGGATCCAATCCCCCTTTTTCTCACCTTGTGGGCACTGCTGGGAGGTCAACATGTTCTGGGTATCAAAGGGCTGGGAATTTGAAATAGTTCACATTTATGCCAACTCTTGGCCATTGTGTGAGTAACCTTCCAGACCCTTGGAGTTACAGAATTAAATTCAAACTGGAGGGACTAAGAGATTCTTTTTGGTCCTTTTGAGACAGGGTCTCCAGCTGGCCTGGAACTCACTATGTAGACCAGGGTGGCCTTAAACTCATAGAGATCCCCATCTCTGCTTCTGGAGTACTGAGATTAAAGGCGTGTGCCACTATACCCAGCAGACTAAGGGATTCTAAAACAGGTTTTGGATTATTTAACAAGGTCTCTGGGGCTGGAGACATGGCTCAGTGGTTAAGAATACCCACTGCTCTTGCAGAGGACCCAAGTTCGATTCCCAGCACCCACATGGGGGCTACGAACCATGCTTAACTCCAGTTCCAGGGAAATTCGATGCCCTCTTCTGACCTCCGACGCATTGCACGACAAGGGTACACTCACATACATGCAGGCAATAGATTCATACACATAAAATAAAAATAAATAAAATTTAAAAAACAAAAACAAAAACGGGGCTGAAGAGATGGTTCAGCCGTTAAGAGCATTAACTTCAAAAAAGACCAAAAAAACCCCAAACAAAAAAACAAGGTCTCATATAGCCCAGGCTGGCCTCAAACTTACTATGTAGCCAAGGATGACCTTGAACTTCTGATCTTTCTTATTTATTTTTATTTTTTATTTTTGGCCTTTTTGAGACAGGGTCTCTCTGTAGACCCAGCTGTCCTGGAACTCACTATGTAGACCAGGCTGGCCTTGAACTCACAGAGATCCGCCTGCCTCTGCCTCCTGAGTGCTGGGATTAAAGGCGGGCGCCACCACGCCCGACTGGATCTTTCTTTTTTAAAAGAAACATTTTACTTATTATTTTTATTTTTTTTTATGTGTATGTGTGTGTTGCCTGCATGTAAGTGAGTGCACCTGTGTCATGTAGTGCCTGAGGTCAGAAGAGGGTGTTGGATCCCCTGGAACTAGAGTTACATGCAGTTAGTCACCGTGTGGGTGCTGGGACTCAAACCTGGGTCCTCTGCAAGAGCAGCCAGTGTTCTTAATTCTGAGCCATCTCTCCAGCCCCTGATCTTTCTGCCTCCACCTTCAGGGTGCTGGGATTCTAAGCATGTGCCACCATACCTGGTTCTATGTGATATTGGAAATCAAATTAGGACCTCATGGATGGTAGACAAGTACTCTACCAACTAAGTTGCATTTGTAATTCCTTGGAGTTTTTTTGTTTTTAATTTATTATATATACAAGCAGGTTTCTGGGATGCCAGTAGTACTGTTCTTTTTCTTTCCCTTTGGTTTTTTTGAGATAGTCTCCCTGTAGCCCCAGCTGGCCTGGAACTCACTATGTAGACCAGGCTGGCCTCAATTTTACAGAAATCCACCTGCTTCTCCCTCCTGAGTGTGCCCAATCTCTTGTTTTGTTTTTGTGCTATTAAAGCCAAAGCCTCACAGGTGCTAGGTATGTGATTGTCTTTTTGGTGAAGAGACTCAGGAAGGGAGGAGCCCTGAGTGGCCTGAAGTTGTGCTGTGAGGTGGCTGGCAGGAACAGTCCTCCCAATTTGTTCCCAGCCGCAATTGGCTTACCCGTGTTTTCCTCTCCTCCTTGCAGACGGAGTCCGTAGCTAGTGAGACCACCGAGCAGGGCCAGGCCGGGCCCTGCCTGAAAGGACACCAGAGTCCTTCACCGGCCCCTGTGAACCAGAGCCCACCAGGCTGTCCCACTGGCCCCACCATGACATCAGAGTCCACATCACCTCCAGCGGTCCCACCTCTCCACTCTCCCAAGTCTCCTGTCTGGCCCACTTTCCCATTCCACAGGGAGGGCAGTAGGATCTGGGAACGGGGTGGGGTCTCTCCTCGGGACCTGCCCAGCCCTCTGCCTACCAAACGAACCAGGACATATTCAGCGTGAGTACCTGCCCCTCACCTAGGCTCTGTGAACTTTCTTCAGGACAGTGCCAAGTCTGCCCATCCTCTGAAGACTGGAGAGCTGTGTGTGCCTGGCAGGGCTAGGAGTGTGTGTTTCTGTGTGTGATTACATGCCACAGTATGCATGGAGATCAGAGAACTTGCAGGAATTGGTTCTTCCTTCCACCATGGGTTAAACTCAGGTGGTCAGGCTTGGCAGCAAGTGCATTTACCCACTGAGCCACCTAGCCAGCTGTTCGTTTTTGTTTGTTTTTAAGATATGGTCTCACTATGCAGCCCTGGCTGTCCTGGAACTCACTATGTAGACCAGGCTGGCCTCAAACTTGCAAGTGCTTGAGGTCTGCTTTGGGGAGATATTCAAACCCAGGTTGCACACACAGTCTTCTTTCAGAAATTTGCCTTTTTTCTGGTCATGGTAGATAAGCACTCTACCACAGAGCTACAGCCCCAGCTTGACTCAGAAATCTTTTTTTGGGGGTCTTCCTGTAGCCCCAGCTGTCCTGGAACCTACTAGGTAGACCAGGCTGGCCTTGAACTCACAGAGATCCGCTGGCCTCTGCCTCTCAAGTGCTGGGATTAAAGGCATACACTACCACATCCAGCCTTGACTCAGAAATTTTATAAGTAGAACCCATTTCAGCCTAAACAACATCTGGAGGGAGGGTGCTATTCAAAGAGCGACACTGGCCAGGAACTAGGAGATATCCTTGCATACTGGGAGATCCTCGGCAGGTCAGTTGTCCCACTCTGGGCCTAAGTCCTGTTATCTGCCCAGTGAGGATGCTTTGGGGGCCCAGGGAGCATAGCTGTGAGGTTTATGGCCTGGGGAGGTTCCTTGAGGCAGGATGAAAGGAGGGTGGTGGTCCAGGAAGGGTGGGGTCTCCGGGTCACATTTCTAATCCCTCTACCCTATCCCCAGGACAGCCCGAGCCTCGGCTGGCCCTGTGTTCAAGGGCGTCTGTAAACAGTTCTCACGCTCCCAGGGCCATGGCTTCATCACCCCTGAGAATGGCTCAGAGGACATCTTTGTGCACGTATCTGAGTGAGTTCCCCTCCTTCTGTCTCTGACTGGGCACTGCCCAGTGTCCAGTCTCCCCAGGCCTCTCCCCTAGCCACTGTCTGTATTCCTGCTATCCCTGCTTTAAGGAGGGATGGGAGGTGGGCTGGGATCAGCTCGCAGACCCCAGAAGCCCTAGCACCCTCTTCTGGGACCCTGGGGTCTTGTTTTAGGATCATGAGTATCCTTAGAGAGCTAGACCTGCTTCTGGGCCTCATATCCTGGAAGGGGACTTGGGTGGAGGGGTAAATGAAGAGAGGTGGGTCTAGGCTTGTCCCCACCCACCTAATACCAGAGATGACAGGGGAGGTCCCTTAATTTCTCAGAGCCTTAGGAACCTCCTGGTGACTTTCACATGTCCCCCAGAAGAGGTAGGTACTATATAGACTCCCATTTTACAGCCTGGAAAGCCAAGGTCCTGAGCAGTGACGCTAGGGGCCAGGCCACTGTGGGGTTTGGGACTGAGCCTGCTGTTGGGCTGACCTCACTCTTTTGCTCACTAGCATCGAGGGGGAATATGTGCCTGTGGAAGGCGACGAGGTGACCTACAAGATGTGTCCCATTCCACCCAAGAACCAGAAGTTTCAGGCTGTGGAGGTGGTGCTCACCCAGTTGGCCCCCCACACTCCCCACGAGACATGGTCTGGCCAGGTTGTGGGTTCCTAGGTGGGGGGTGATCCTTATGGGGAGGGCAGGCAGCAGCCAGCTCTGCTCCCACTGTGCTGCTGACCAGCCGTTGGGTGTGTGCATTTGTCTGTTTGTACATCTTTCTGTGCTTATGGCTGTGAGTGTGCTTCCAACAACTTCATACAACTTCCGTGACCCGGACTGTTGTACCAGCCAACCTGGGGTTGGATGGAAGGGTGGCCACCAGCCCTGCCTTGGCCCGTCTCTCTTTCCTTCATGCCTTGCCATGTATACACATGACCCTCCTGCCCTCTTGCCCATTGTCTACCTACTGAGTCCCTGCAAGCCTGTGCCAGGTCAGGTGGAGACCCAGGGAGACCCTCTCCTATGAGCACCCTCATCACTGCTGTCCTCAGTCCTTCTCAGTCCCATGCCTGACCCTGGTCAGACTTTGCTTGTGCTCCTGTCTCCTGCCCTGGGCTGGGGTGTTTGCCATGGCCTGGATCCTTCCTCTCAGAAGCCAGGCCTCTGAGTGCTTTGTGGGGGCCTCTAGCTTCACAGGGAGGGGAAGAGGGCAAAACATGGAGGCTCATGGCACCCCGTCACAGCCTGGCTCATCTTCCTGCCCCTACTCTTTCAGTACACTGGACAGGCAGCAAACCGGGCTGTGGGCAGAAAAGGGAACCTGTTTTGTTTTCCAATTCTGTCTCCTCAGCCTGGCTGAGGCTCTTTTGAGCTCCACAGAGCTGGGTTTCTTCCCCTGGCTTCCTCCTGAGGTGGGGACACATTCCCCCCAGCTTGGATGGAATCATCTCCCCCACTCTGATGCACAAACCCCGTGGATGCTCTGCCCTGTGCTGGTCATCACAGTGTCTGAGGATGTGGTGATGGATGGATATGTGTCTCCTCAGGCAAGGCCAGGTCCAGGCACCCAAAGGACAGCCCAAGGCCTGGGAGACCACTGGCCTTGCAACTCCAACACTGGACCATCTTCGCAGAGCTGCAAGACATAGCCCCCATAGTCTCTTGACAGGCCAGCGGCGGGGTGGCTCTTATCTTTCCACCCCTCATGTGTGACTGTCCCTCTTACCTGTGTCCCTTCTAGACAGCCCAGTACCTGTTGGGAGGATAAGTGGGGTCACAGGCTTAGGGAGGGGCTGCCAGGACAAGAGCCTAATGGGACCCAGTCTACCAGTAACATTGGGGCTCAGATATCCAGGATGAGGGGGTCAGTGACTGTCTAGGCAGCTTGGTAGGTATCCCAGGACCACAGGGTAGAATCATTTGGGGTGTCTGTATCCCAGCTTGTCCTAGTACCCATTACAGAGGCCAGCAGCCCAAGAGGTGCTGCTAAGAGGTGCTGGCTAGCCCTTCCAAACACTAGGAAGGGGCTGCCTGTCTGACGCTCCACTGTGAGTTAGGCTTCTCCAACAAGGCCTGTCCCTGAGAAGCAGAACTACAGGATTCCTGCCCCTTGACAGGGAGCTTGGTACAGGTGGACCCTGGGGCCACCCAGCCTTCTCTCCTGTGAGCAGGTCCTTCTCAGGCATTGGCCTGGGGCCTCCTGGGTGGCCAAGGACAGCAGACTTCCTCCCCACTCTTGGGCCTACAGTGCCCAGGCAGAAACCTTTCCAGACCCCAGCCACGGACCCCCCAATCCCTCCTGGACCCCCTATCCCTCCTAACACTGGCAATAAATTCAACTGTGACCCACCCTGGCCCTGAGCTGCCTTTTTCTGATGGGGACCCTGGGGCTGAGGAAGAGCACAACAGTGGATCAAAGACCCCTGGGAGTGAGTCCCTGCCCCTCCAATTCATCTGTAAAGTGTGGCTCTATGAACATGTAACAGGGACCATTATTTCTTAACACACCTGATACGTCTTATCCTGGGACCTTTACTAGAACACAAAGTGACAAAGTCCTCTGAGCAGTGTCCTTCCCTGCTGCTCTTCCCTCTGTCTGTGGTGGCCCAGCAGGTTCCATGGCACAACTTGCACACACTTCCCTCCAGGGTGGACGGAGACCTGGTCTGTTCTGGAAGACCAGCAGCATCTGAGGCCAGGCCATTAAGGGCAGAGTACAGGAACCCATCTTGTCAGGAGCTACCTATCTGGGGACAGTTGCCACACAGACCCTGGTTCTGTGTGGCTGGGCCTTGTAGTGGCCCACATGAGGCTGCGTTCTAGGCTCGAGGAAGGAGCACGCTGGCACCTCATAGTTCTCTCTTCAGGCTTGGCAGAGCTTTTTTGGAAGTCACAATGCTCAGCTGCAGGTACCATCATGCCTCATGGGCTGTCTCTGGGAAGAAAAGCTCTCGGCATCGTTGCATGGTGTCCTGAGGGGAGACCACGCTGTGGCCGACGGTCCGGGGGTCAGCATAGATCTCATAGTCGTTCCCACCCTGCACTCAGAGGAAGAAGAGAGAATGCATGGTCTTAGGTATTGCCTCCAAGAGCTGCCCAGGGTTGAGGCCCAAGAGCCACCCAGGTGGACCTGCCCCTACTCAGAACCACCAGAAAGCACACCTTCCAGGCCCATCAGACCCGACTTGCTGTGTGACATGGGGCAAGGGTCTAGCACTCTCTGGCCCCCCACCATCTTCTGGTATGTACAATGAAACTGGTGAATGTGGACTGTCTTCCAGGAGGTCACCAAAAGTCTGTTCTGTTGCCCTGTGTCCTAGCCTTGACCTCAGGCACTCTGGGTTAAGGGGAACCTGGGCAAGACCCACACTCACAGGACTGGTCTCATTCCCAAAGAAGTGGATGATGTCAAAGCTGTCCTCATCCAGGCTATCCAGGCAATAGCGCTTATCCCAGCCCTCAGGGAAGACATCAAAGCTGATCATGCCTCCTGTGGGGGAGAGGAGGTGTGACTCAGCTCTGGGAGGGCACAGAGCTGGCAGCAGGACAGCCACAAGTGAACTTGGGCAAGGCTCCATTTTTTTTTTAAAGATGGGTTATCATGTATCTCAGTTTGCCTTTGAACACACTATTAGCCCAGGCTGGCCTTGAGCTCCTGAACTTCCTGCTTCTACCTCCCAAGTGTTGAGATTATAGGTGTGAGCCACCATACCTGTCCTCTAAGGCACTTTGTTCATTTGTACCAGAAACAGGGCCAAGGGCAGACTTGGAATCTTTGGGGTTTCATCCAAATGGAGAAACCAATGGGAAACACAGGACCACAAGAGCAAGGGTGGGCTCACCCAGCCAGCACGGCCAAGGAACCCTGAGGTGACAGTGAACTGGGACACACACCATAGTGGTGGGGGGATCTGGGGGTTTCTGAGCACACGTGTGACAAGACCGTAGGTTCTAAGTGATCCTAGCAGCTGGTCTCTCCTCGGGCCACTGGGGAGCAGGGTGAGAAGACACCTGGTAAATCAGATGCACTAGGTCAGCCGGAGCCTCGGGGGTGCAGCTAGCAACAAAGGTAAGCAGAGTCAGCTTCAGAGGCATCCAGAGCCCTAGACTTGCCAATCAGTCAGACTTGTGAGGGGTGAGAGGAGAACTCACCATCAGGAGGTCATTTGACAAGGTGGGCTGAACTGGGGCACAGGTGAACCATGTTCCCCTGCTATGTCTGAGTGGGGTTTCTTCGTCAGACTCTCAGGCCCACCAGAGGGGAAGACATACCTCGGGAGAACCTCAGCCCCTTTCCGGCAAACTCTGTCTTCAGGGCTTCTACAAACTTCTCCCGGATCTTTTCCTTCTGCAGAGAGGGTAGAGACCGGCTCAGAGGGCCTGTTGTGTACCAGGTCGGCGCCTGACACACAACCCACACCGACTCACTGTTCTTCAGCAAAGGGAAACAAGCTCTAAGAGGGGTCAGGCCTTGCTCAAGGTCACTTAGCCTCAAAAAGCAGTTCTGGGGACTAGATCCAGATCATTGATACCTGCCAAATGGGGTGTGAAGCAAGGTGGAGGGGACAGGGCAGCCTGAACTCCAAGTCACGGTGCCCATCTTAGGGCAAGCCTCGGCTCATGTCAACATAGGACTTAGGCAACAGAGATAAGGATCTGGGAGGGGAAGTCCTGTGTGTAGGCGGCAGAGGGCGTTCACAGACTAGGCCTAGTTACATCAACAACTTGCATTTTCTATTTTCTCTTGGAAAACAGTGGGGCTGGGGTTAGCAGGGCCCGGTACAACCCCCATCCCAGCAGCACCTTACAAGCACAGAACTCAGGGACATTCACTCACTCTGGGCCTGGCCGTGCTGGGACCACTGGGGCAAATGGGCAGACTAGACCTGGGGCAGGCAGAGGAACACACCAGCCAGCCTGACCAGATGTCTTGGCTGCTGGGCTAATGGGAGTCAGGCTCAGAGGAGGGACTGGAGGGAATAACCCTATCTGGCTGAAGTAGCAGTGACATGAAGAAATCAGCTCAGAGGCTGAAGACCAGGCTGAGGGTCTGGCTACGTGAGGGAAGGGTGGGGGCCATTGATTTCAAGGCATGAGTAGAGTGCTGAGGACTGCTTTGAGCTGTTCAGGCAGGACCTGGATGCAGGCAGCATGCAGCCTGAAGAGCTGGGTCAGAAGGACCCAGCCTGAGATCTGCAGGCCAAGTGGCTTCTAGGCCTGATGGCTATGTTGCTTAGCTGTTGCAACTATGGGCAAGTTATCTGACCTCTCTGGGGCCATTTTCCTGAACTAAAGGAAAGAGAAATAATTAATGGCTACTGTTTGTTTCTCCCTCAAGGAAAACAGACCTGCCAGCCCTGGTCTTGCCTTCCTATAAGGTGGGGGTGACCCGGGGACACCGGAGTCCCCATCAGAGCCTGCTCATTAGGCCCAGGAGTAGCACTGTACATGCCCAAGCTCTGATGTTTCCACACGGCCCAGGGAGTAGGGCTGCACCTCCCCTCTCTAGCAGATAGGCTGATCAATGGATGGCCTCATGTGCTAAGTCTAGCCTTGTAACCTTGAGCTTCTCAGTTACCCTTTTGTGACAGGGTCCTCATCTAAGGAAGGACTCTACACATTCCTCCCTGGAGACCAAAGGACTGAAGGAGATTTAAGCATGTGTACAGGATCTGGACTATTCAGGACATAGATCAGAAATATCCAAGCGTTAGCCACATCCCAGCCTCCCCATCCCTGCACTATGCCAGGTGTTACCCATCTAGTCTGCATGATAGCCTGTAAGATAGGACGTACTATCATGAGAAAACAAAGGCACACAGTAGTGATGCTTCCTTCCAACTTACTAGGTAAATGTGAGGTAGAGCTGGGCTCGGAAATCTGAGGAAAATGGGAGGGGGAGGGTTCTTTGTCAAAGATCAATCTTTTTTTTTTTTGGTTTTTGAGACAGGGTCTCCCTGTAGCCCCAGCTGTCCTGGAACTCACTATGAAGACCAGGCTGGCCTTGAACTCACAAAGATCCACCTGCCTCTGCCTCCCAAGTGCTGGGACTACAGGCGTGCGCCACTACACCCGGCCAAAGATCAATCTTTACTCCAGTAAGAAAAGTCTCTGTTTCTGTACCAACAAAACTGGGGGTGGAACATCTAAGGGAACTTGGTGTGTTCGAGGAAGGAAGAGGAAACATGATTCTAGAGAGGTGAGCCAGAGGTGAGCACTGAGCATTGCCCAGTCAGCCCTGGGGAGCCACGGAAAGATTGTCACTAGGAAGTGGAAATGGCAGGTGTGTTTAAAAGGTTCCCAGAGGCAAGCTGGAGAGCAGAGGGGGCAGGGGGCAAAGGAGAAGATTTAGGGAAGCCTGGGGGAAACAAGATTACAGCCTGGAGAAGGGGGGTCTCGTGCAGATGAGCCAACAGGAGGCTGAAGTTATTGGATCTGGTGCGGGTGGGAAGGTGGCAAGAGGTGCTGGCTTCGATCAGTAGGGGGCTGGTGGTGCGGGTCACTAGAGACTAGCAGTGATGGAAAGAGACCATATGCCTGCAGTCATGACACACAGTAGGTGCCCAAGTCTGGGCTCAATCAGAACTCCTCCCAACCCATTTAACTGATGAGAAAGTGACTGAGGCCTCCAGTTGCTCAGTGGTACCTTGTCCAGTTCAGAGAACTCAATCCTCTCCTCCAGGGTGCAGCTGCGGCCGATGGGTGAGATGTTAAGCATGCCATTCCGGAACTCAATGAAGGTCCCACTGGGAGTGATGAAAGATAGGAGTGAGAGGGAGAGGAGCCAGGTGTGTGTGTGTGTGTGTGTGTGTGTGTGTGTGTGTGTGTGTGTAGAAGGGCTCTGAATTCAAATCCTGTTCCATTTAGAACCAGTCTCCCTGAACTTCATAGGGGACACGAATCTATGCACTGGCCAGGCTTGGTGGGGCATGCCTTTAATCCCAGCACTCGGGAGGCAGAGGCAGGCGGATCTCTGTGAATTCGAGGCCAGCCTGGTCTACATAACGAGTTCCAGGCCAACTGGGGCTACAGGGAGACCCTGTCTCAAAAAGACCGAAAAAAAAAAAAGAATCCATGCACAAATAAGTTAGGGTCCTGGCCTGGGGGGAAGGCTCAGAAGTAGGGCACCCCTGCCTAGCACAGACAAGGCCCAGAATTACAACCCCAGTCAGGCACAATGTAAAGCACCCCACTTCCTCCCGCAGGCTCCAGATTCTGGAGCCCAAGTTGGTGGGGCCTCACCGCTTCTTGGGCAGTCTGAGCACAGCCATATAGCTGAGGCAGAAGTTGATCAAGTCCTGCAGCAGCTCCTCCCCCAGCTGGTTCTGGATGGTCTGTGCAAGGAACACAAGGCTCTCAGTGGCATGCATAGGTCAGAAGGAACCCTGTGTGGAAAGGGGTGCCCTGGCTCGGCCCCAAAGGATACTGACCTGCTTGGAGAGCAGCCTTCCATGCTTGTACTGCACGGTCCCATTCTCAGCAAACACGTAATCAAACTTCTCAATGACTTGGGGCCACGGAGAAGCCGGGAGAGAAAGAAAGTGTGAGACCAGGTCCCACTGTCACCCAGGCGGCAGAGCGGGAACGAAGGCCATGGAGCCCATTTGTCCTACCCAAACCGACTTCTCCGGTCTCCGTCCCTTCCGCAGCCCTGTTTTCTTCCTCGAGGTCACTCTTCTAGATCACTGCTCAGGCAGGTCCTTCTGCCAGGGACACCCACCCCTTCGCTCATCCTCCAAGATCCAGCTCTTTCCTTTGGGAGACTTCAGGAAGGCCCAGCAGAGGGCACTCTTCCCACCGTTTCCCACTCTCCTGCTTGGAGACTCTGCTCCCTTTCCAGTTCCTCATCACTCTGTCCCCACTTGGGCTGCACAGCAATTTTCAGCTCTGACTGCCACAAGCAGCAGCCACAGAGAGAGGAGGCACAGGGATCGATGTCCTGCAGGATCTGGTGGCCAGGGATGATCACCTGGCTTTGGTGTGTGGTAGAAATGGAGGCATGGACAGATGGAATAAAGAGGTTGTTTGGGACTTGCTGATGGCATGAATGAGTGGGGACAGGGAAAACTCAAGGAAGTTTCTGGCTTGAGGAACTGTGGCACCTACTAACACTGAGATGAAAGTAGGCGTACTGGGGCCCAAATCACCTGTAGAGGACTTCCATTTTCACTGTTAAAAATAGGATAATCTGCTGGGATCAAAGCACACCTTTGATCCCAGCACTTGGGAGGCAGAGGAAGGCATATCTCTGTGAGATCGAGGTCAGCCTGGTCTACATAGCGAGTTCCATGCCAGCCAAGGGTACCTAGTCTCAAAAAAACCCCAACAACCCACCACTAGGCTGGAGAGATGGCTCAGCGGTTAAGAGCACGGGCTGGTCTTGGATCTGAGTTTGATTCCCAGCACCCACATGACAGCTAACAGGGGTCCATAACTCCAGTTCCAGGGATTCTGACACCCTCTTCTGCCCTCCAGGGGCATTGCGTGACACACGTGCACTTACATACATGCAGGTAATACACTCATACACATAAAATAAAAACAGTTGGGAGGCAGAGGCAGACGGATCTCTGTGAATTCAAGGCCAGCCTGGTCTACATAGTGAGTTCCAGGCCAGCTGGGGCTACAGGGACACCCTGTCTCAAAAAAAGACCAAAAAATAAAAAAACCCAAAACATTAAAAAAAAAAAAACAATCAACAACAATAAAAGGACAATCATTGGGTTTGGTAATGCATCTCTCTAATCCTAGGACTCAGGAGTCTGAGGCAGGAAAACCCTATACATTCAAAGCCAACCCGGTCTACCTAGTGAGTTCTAAGTCAGAGCTACATACTGGGACCCTGTTTCCAAAAACCAATAAACAGGGCTGGTAGATGGCTCATTGAGTAAAGGCACTTGCCCAAGCCTGACAACCTGAGTTTGATATCCAGGACCCACACAGTGAAAAGAGATAACAGACTGTCCTTTTGACTTCCATGTATAGGCACATCCACACATTCATTCACACACACACACACACACACACACACACACACACGTAACAGAAACCAAGAACTGAGGTTGGAGAAATGGCTCAGTGGTTAAGAGCACTTGCTGTTCTTCCAGAGGATATGGATTCAGTTCCCAGCACCCACATGGTGGCTCACAACTGCCTGTACCTCCACTTCCAGGAATCCACTGCTATCTTTGTCTTCCTTAGGGACCTGTATGTATATAGTGCACACACATATAATCAGGTGCATACATACATACATAAACTAAACTAAATCTTTTTAAGTTTATGATGAAAAATTATAAAAAACCAAAACCAACCAACCAACCAACCAATACATGACTATAAAGGAAAGTAAGACTCACGGGGAGAAGTGGGAGCGTGCACTGCCTAGGCAGGGCTCTGCCTCTGTTCCCAGCTGCCTCTGCAGTCTAGCACAGTGCCTGGCAAAGGCAGGTGCTTAGGAAACCTTTGCTGGCTCAGCCATTGAGTCTTCCGGCTGCTCTTTCTCCATTTCTTCTGCCCCATAGAGGCAGGATGAAATCTTTGTAGGTGCCCAGGCATTTTCCAATTCCACGCTCCTTCCACTCCCCACCCCAACTAGAACAGATGTGGCCCACGCCTACCTTCATCCCCATCACCCAGCTGCTCCGCAATCTTAGAGTAGTCAGAGCCGCCCACCACACCGATCTGCACCCTACTTCGCAGCTTCTGCAGGAAGGCTGATATCTCAGGGTCAATTTTCTGATGGGGGTGGGAAGGAAGAAAAGGATTCTGGTTGTCAGAATGTCTGGGACCTCTACTTAGCTCTACTTAGTGTTCAGAACTCAGGGAGCCTTGTTCCTCCTAATCTGTAGCAGGAGAAAAAAAATGTCAGAAATGCAAAATGCAAAACTGTTCGCGCACTGACAATGCCCAAAGTGGAAAATTCCATACGTGACTTTGGGTGGTGTGTTGCAACCAAATCAGAAATACACTAAAAAATATTGCATAAAATAGTGCTGGAATATATCTTGGTGGAGGTTGGCCTTGAGTTTCTAAAAAAAAAAGGGGGGGAAACCCTAAAACACACACATATAAAGTCTGTCAAGATGACTTGGTAGGTAAAGGTGTAGGACCCTGAGACCCTCTTCATTCACCCGCTATCCCCAATCCCTCCAGACCCCGACTAATTGCTCTTTTAGATTCTGTAAAATGCTTGGCTGCTGCTTTAGACAGGCCTAGACATGCCCTGACCCCCGCCTGCTATTCCCCCCCCCCTCCACGAAACCATAGATTAAGCAAACCCGAGCATGAAAACTGCCCTATACGGTAAAAACGGAGACTCCTGGCCCTACAGATAACAGTCAGCACATTCCACAGCCCTGAGAATAGCACCTACCAATAAGAAACTTCCAGGGCTGCATCTTATATATCGATTCAGTTTAAAACTATGTTGGCGCGTGCGGGCTCCTTGAACCAACCAAAATGTATCTTCGGTATCCCCCTCCTCTCTTTGTCTAAAACCTATAAAAGGCTCCACTCTCCCTTACTCTGGGCTCTCAGCACGGATCCGTTGAGTTGGTGAGGTCTGAGAGCCCAAGCAAACCATAAACCTTTGCTTTTGCATTTTGGTGTGTTGGGTCCTTGGTGATCTTTTTGGGGTCTAGTGGATGAGGTACAACATTTGGGGGCTCTTCCGGGATCCCCCCCAGAGGCCCCCCGAGAGGAACCAACCCCAAAAGGTTTGTGATCAACTGGCCGGGTAACTTTTTGTAAAACTGTGTGTGTGCCTGTCTTTTCTATACTTTCCCTTTGGTCGTGGCCGTCTGATCTCAGTTTTTTTGTCGCTGCAATGCTAGCAAGGCGACCTGGAGGATTTGGGAGACGTCCCCATCCTCATCGGGGTGGGTGTTCCCCACCAGACACCCCACCAGGACACTAGTCCATCTGAAACCTCAGAGGACCTCGCGACCCTGTTGGGACACGCGCGTCCTATCCGTATGGTGTTTGGCATAATCGAGCCAGGGAATCCACACGGCCGAGAGTCCAGACCATCTGAAAGCTGCGGTAGTTTATTTGGGGCCCTCTGTCTGTCTGTGTCGTTCTTGTGTCTTGTGATCTTCGTTCTAATTTCTTTGTTGACGAAACAGATGGGACTGATAAATACTATGGGCAACACCCCATCTTCCCCTCTAGATCTTACACTAGTCCCCTGGGGAGACATTAAGACGATTGCCCATAACGATAGTGGAGATGTAAAGAAAAAGAAATGGACAACTTTATGTTCGGTTGATTGGCCCTCCTTCAATGTTGGATGGCGCCCTGAAGGGACTTTTAACCTGAGTTTGATTTCCAGGGTAGAGGACCACGTCTTCCGCCCACGGATGGGCCACCAGGACCAGATCCCATACATCGTGACCTGGCGAGGCCTCATAGAACGACCCGATGCCCCGCCCCCTGCCTGGGTCAAGTACTTCCTTCCCCCTTCCCCCCAATTAATCCAACTGCTCCCCCTCCACCTCTGCAGGTCCTCCCTCTCAGACCAAGGCGGAAGAGAAACCCATTCTCCAGGGAGGCATGGAGGAGAACGACATCTCCCCCCCCCCCCCCCGCCCTACTCCTCTCAGATGGGCGCCACAAGTGCAGGCCCCGCCTCCTAACCCTGAGGAGCCACTATCACCTCCACAGGGACCTGTGCAGGCCACATGGAACTGGAGGGGGGCAGCCCCCCAGCCTGACACCATTGTCCTTTGGCGCTCACAGAATGTGCCTTTCTCTGAAAACCCCAGGGACTTGATTAACTTATTGGAAACTGTTCTCTTCACTCACCAGCCCACCTGGAACAATTGCCACCAGCTCCTGAGTGTCCTGTTCACTACTGAGGAGCTAAACAGGATCCTGGAGGCAGCCCGGAAATTGGTTCTGGGCCCCACCGGGGACCCTACCACAGATCCAGGCATCATTAATGTCAGCTTTCCCCCTAGCTAGGTAAGGAGAGGCTCCTGGTTTACTGCCAGACTCTGTGAGCGCGTCTCAAAATGCCAGCTCGAAAACCCACCAATATGTCTAAGGTCTACAATGTCAGACGGGCCCGAAACGAGCCCAGCCTCATACTTAGAGAGGTTACAAGATGCCTTCCAGCGGTTCACTCTGTATGACCCAGAAGCAGAGGAATCAGCTCAAACTGTGATGTTTGCTTTCGTTAACCGGGCAGCATCAAGAGAAAGTTACAGTCTTTAGATAGACTAGGAGAAAAAAAACCTTAGGGACTTAATAGCAGTGGCGGAAAAGGTTTATAAGGGAGACAGCAGAACAAAGAGAGGAAAGAAAAGAAAAAAGACAGGAAGCAAGCCTGACCAGGGTCCTGGAGAGACAACAGGCCCGCCATAAGAAGGACCTCAGAGAGATATTATTGGTAACTGTGTTGGATAACTTTAGTGTCAACTTGACACACCTGGGTTGAGGGAGCCTCAGCTGGGGAACTGCCTCTATTGGACTGGCCTGTGGCCATGTCTGAGGGGCATCTTCTTGATGAGTGATGTGGGAGGGCCCAGCCCACTGTGGGTGGTGCCACCCCTGGGCAGGTGGGCCTGTGTTGCATAAGAAAGCAGGCTGAGCAGGGGCCAGGGGAGCAAATCAGTAAGCAGCATTCCTCCGTGGCCTGTGCTTCAGCTCCTGCTTCCAGGTTCCTGCCCTGAGTTCCTACCTTGGGCTCCCTGATGAACTGCGACCTGGGAGATGTAAGCTAAATAAACCCCTTCCTCCCCAAGTTGGTATTGGTCAGAGTATTTTGTCACGGCAATGAAGAACAAACTAGAACAGCAACCAACCCCCAGTACGGAAGGAGCTCATCGGCGGGATCCATACCATGAAATAAGGTAGGGAAAAACCAGTGTGCATACTGTAAGGAAGAAGGGCACTGGGTGAAGGACTGCCCCAAGAAGAATAAACCATCAGCTAAAGTATTACCAGCTCTAATTGGGGGTGAAGACGGTGACTAGGGGAGACGGGGCTCAGGTCCCCTCCCTGAGCCCAGGGTAACCCTGAAAATAGAGGGGAAACCAATTGAGTTTATGGTGGATACTGGTGCCCAGAATTCGGTTTTATTAGGGCCAAGAGGGCCAGTGTCCTCCAGAACTATATGGGTACAGGGGGCAACAGGAACAAAGCCCTATTCATGGACTACCCAAAGAACAGTAGATTTAGGGAAGGGCCGGGTATCCCACTCATTTCTAGTAATCCCAGAATGTCCCTACCCACTTCTGGGCAGAAATTTATTGTCAAAATGAGGGCACAGATCCACTTCACAGCTAAAGGAACCACCCTGCTTCACAACAGGGTACCGGTTCAGGTTCTAGTCACCAACGACCTGACTAAGGAATATAGATTCCATCAGGAGCCGATCCAACCAAACCCTGATATATCAGATTGGCTCTAAAAACTTCCCTAAGCCTGGGCAGAAACAGGGGGTATGGGTCTGGCAGGACACAGGCCTCCTGCATATATTGAACTCAAAGCAGGGGCAGACCCTGTTAAAGTGCACCAGTATCCTATGCCCCTAGAGGCAAAACGTG